AAAATTTTTTTCCGGATCGATCTGAGACAATTTTTCCTTCGGGCCTCAAAAAAAGGCAGTGTATAACCTTCCTTTTTTACCAAAAATCGACTGCACCAAAATTTCTCGGGAAAACACTTTTTCTTATTATTTTTGGTGCGTAGAATCCAAAACAATTCGTACTTTTTCGATCAGACTTCTCAATCAAAAGTTATAGACTAGAAAACAATTTCGAAAGAAAATTCAAAGGGCTGTAACTTTTGAACTAGTAGCCCAATCTTGGAACTGTTTGAAATTATGGATTTTACAGGCCACATTCTATAAGAAAATGTTTTTCCGGGTCGATCTGAGACAATTTTTTTCGGGCTTCAAAAAAAGGCAGTGTACCTACCTACTACAACCTTCCTTTTTTACCAAAAATCGACTACACCAAAATTTCTCGGGAAAACACTTTTTCTTATTAATTTTGGTGCGTAGAATCCAAAACAATTCGTACTTTTACGATCAGACTTCTCAATCAAAAGTTATAGACTAGAAACCAATTTCGAAAGAAAATTCAAAGGGCTGTAACTTTTGAACTAGTAGCCCAATCTTGGAACTGTTTGAATTTATGGATTCTACAGGCCACATTCTATAAGAAAATTTTTTTTCCGTGTCGATCCGAGACAATTTTTTTTTCTTGCGTCAAAAAAGGCAGTGTATAACCTTTCCTTTTTTACCAAAAATCGACTACACCAAAATTTCTCGGGAAAACACTTTTTCTTATTAATTTGGGTGCGTAGAATCCAAATCAATTCGTACTTTTTCGATCAGACTTCTCAATCAAAAGTTATAGACTAGAAACCAATTTCGAAAAAAAATTCAAAGGGCTGTAACTTTTGAACTAGTAGCCCAATCTTGGAACTGTTTGAAATTATGGATTCTACAGGCCACATTCTATAAGAAAAATTTTTTCCGGGTCGATCTGAGACAATTTTTTTTCGGGCCTCAAAAAAAGGCAGTGTATAACCTTCCTTTTTTACCAAAAATCGACTGCACCAAAATTTCTCGGGAAAACACTTTTTCTTATTAATTTTGGTGCGTAGAATCCAAAACAATTCGTACTTTTTCGATCAGACTTCTCAATCAAAAGTTATAGACTAGAAACCAATTTCGAAAAAAAATTCAAAGGGCTGTAACTTTTGAACTAGTAGCCCAATCTTGGAACTGTTTGAAATTATGGATTCTACAGGCCACATTCTTTTCTTTTTAACATGCTCTTGGTGTTAAAAAAGTATAGTGTAAGTAGTATGGGCACTATAACTGGGGTGGGGGTAAATAATATTGAGTTTTACCTTTTTTCCCCGGTGCTACGTTATCCCCACATGTAAAATTAATCTGAATGTTCATACTTCCATGACCGCAATTAACTAATTATACAATAGTAATTAAGTTAATTGAGATAGTGCCACTACAAAATGGCGACTTTTAAAATGGGGCCTAATTGCCGGTTGACTTATTTGGTTCAGGTTCCTAATTAGGCAAAATTAAACTATTAAAATTAATTAATATACCCAATCTAATGTGAATGTAAGCATATTTGACGCTTAATTACTTGTACAGTTAGTAATTAACGTAGGTACAATACAAATTAACATACGTGGGCCAATGCCAACCCACCAACAACTTATCGCTAATTACTATATCTAATGTTATCCATGGATGCGAATAATTACAATGCCCAGCTTCATTAAAATCATCGATGACATAAATTAACGCTTAATTACTGCGCATAAATTAATATGAGCCAATTTCAATCAATTAGTAACGTATTTTAAGTTGATTTATTGACGGTGCGTAATTAATTTGGCGAATCCCTAATAAATATGCATTAATGGGTTTGATTGATTGAAAGAGGGTGCCAAAATTAATTTCTATAGCAAGAACCGTTAAAATTATTAGCCTTCAAGAAGTGCGCGTTTCTGAGAGTGGGTTTTGGGACCTGCGATGGTACCAAAACGAATGCCAAGCGCCCAATTACAGCCCAATGGTTCATTCGAATGAGGCGTAGTTGCCAAACTGATTGAGGAGATTTCAATTTGGCGCCATTCTATCAAGTGTCGGTCCACTTTCGACGCCCTCTAGCGGACGTACTCGCGAAGCGCGACCTCTGGCCTATTTTCGCAACCGACGCCCAAATATTCGAGATAAATCGGTGTTTTGGCAACCCCGCGACACCGAATGTTTTCAAACGTTCCACTTAAACGCGTTATCGCGTTCCGTCGGCGAGTTATCAAAACCGCAATCGCGCATTAAAAACATTTCAATTCATAGTAGTTTTTTAATCGTGCACTTGTCTAATTAAGGAGAGGAAATTAGAGCGAAAATAATGATTAGATCTCTAATATGAAATTAACGCTTAGAGAAGGTAGGATCCAGAAAGCATGAACATGCTCAGGCGTCGTGTGTCGAGGGCGTTCAGAAAGAAGTCCTGCAACGTCGAGCTGGAGTGCCTGAAGGAATGGATGGAGAACAATCCCGATTTGCAATGCAAGATCGACGACCACTGGCTGCTCGTGTTCCTCTCGAGCTGCAAGTACAACGTCGAAAGGACCAAGGCGAAAATCGAGATGTTCTACATCGTACGATACGCGATGCCCGAAATCTTCACGCATCGTGATCCACGATTGCCTCGCGTGCAGCAGATACTCAACTTGGGGTGAGTCTTCCGATGATCTTCTCTGATAACTCGTGAGCGCTTCCAGTTTGTTTGTCCCACTCGTCAATCCAACCGCGGAAGCTAATTACGACACGGTAATCGTGAGAATGACCTTCTTCGATCCTGAGAAAATTCCCATACAGCTCATAATGAAAGTCGACCTGATGATCATCGACGTTTTGCTGACGGACGCGGCGACCCAGTTTAAGGATATTGAGTTTTTGATCGACCTGAAGGACTTCTCCAACAACTACCACGAGCAACTCTCGCCCAACCAGCTGAAGCGGCTCCTCCACTACTTCGAGGACTCGTACCCGGTTAAAGTGAGGGCCGTACACTTCATCAACCCCCCGCCTTTCGCGATGCCCTTCCTCAACCTCTTCACCCTCTTCGTCTCCGAGAAGAACCGGAACAAGGTGAGTCGCGCCGACGCCGCCGATTGTGTCTATCGCGATGTTGCAGATCCGCGTCTACTGCGAGAACGAGGAGTTCGACGTTACCCAAATTTTCCCGCGCGATGCCCTCCCCGTAGAGCTGAACGGCACGAACTCGAGTCTGGAAGAGATGCGCGGTAAACTCGAGCGAATTCGCGCCGCACGTTACCGTAACTTTCATTTTCGTAGCCCAATGGAAGGCCAAGGTCGAGGACTATCGCGATTGGTTCTTGGAGGGTGAGAATCAGCCGACGCCGGATTCGGTAAGTTTGCCGAAGAGCGACGTGGTCGTAACCAATCCGTTCAGTATGGAATAGCGTCGCATTCACATCAAATTCCTTAAGGAAACGTTAGCGTAACCTCTTGTAAGGTTGCACTGTGAGAGAAAGTCGTTACAGATACTAGTACTCATGTGCTGCAAATTCAATTTAAGTAAACAATCCATCACATGACCTACACGTCTTTTATTTACTAGAATGCCTTTTGGATTGCATAACGCGCCTGCATCACTTTTACCACAAACTGGAGCGAACCAAAGGTAGGTCCGCGTTGCAGCCAAAGTTCCACCGAAATTGCCTTAATTGAAGAGATTGTAAACGAAATTAGATTTAAATTTTTCAAAGCGATCCAATTTTCAATTTTTCTTGGAGGGCGCCATTTTCAAAAGAGTACCCTACTCTTCGTAACCTAATCCAGCGATACCTGTAAGTTAGCAGAGCGTTAAGTCTTGATTTTCAAGGAGATAAAAAGTTAGGGGTACTTAAATTTGATTACAGAGATGATTAATACTAATTGTGTGAAGTGCCGTAGACTGTAGAGGATCAATTTTATTTTGCACGATAAACGATGAAATAAAATGATGGGGAGAAATAGAAGTTTGGGACTTATTAAGACACTATACGGACCACAGAAGAGATTGGGGATGGGGGAGATGAAGAGGGGGCATGGAAGAGCAATTAGACGAATAAGAAAATGAAGAGAGCTGAATTAACATTATAGATAAAAAAAGAAGAAAGAAATAGATATATTCAACAGGGAGACGGAGATGACGGCGAGAAGAACGAAGTGGAATAGACACAAAGAGGAAAAAGATGATGGAAGGAGTAGAGTGAAACAAAGAAGATTTCTTCATATTTTTGTATCATATGTTTATATAATGTTGTACCAAAATTTGTCAAATAAATGTAGTAGTGGTAGTTTTTAGCGCATTTCCACAAAAATAAAAAAAAAATGCGCTATTGTGGCCACTTTGTCCGTCCGTCCGTCCGTCCGCTAACTTTGCGACGCTACTAGTTTTTTATCTTAAGAGCTATTGTTCTACTTTTTTCGCTATTTGGTTCGTTATGGTGTCGAGTCTTGTACCAAGGAAGGAATTTTTTCTGTACCGCTTACAAAAAAAGTTATTGTAAAAAAAACAAAAAACCGTTTTTTACATGTTCCATAATTTTACACTTTTGCCGTTTATTAACGATCCTAGAGATCGTTTATAATTTTGCATTGCTATCTGTCGCCTGCCGGTTGGTCTCTCCGTCTGTTCCTTTGTCTGTCTGTCCATCTATCTGTCCGTGTGAACGATAACTTTGTTTAGAAATGTTCGATCGCTTTTACATCTCCGTGAGTTATGAACTGAATTGCATGAAATTCAATATGGGCATAGATTTAGCCATATAATACGCAATGCCAAAAGTTGGATCGAATCGATTCAAAATTCACAGTGCCCTTTTCGCATCTCGACCATTTATAAACCGAATTGCAAACTTTTTTACTTATAAAAGTATTTGAATGAAATTTGATACATAGGCACTTTGAATAAAGGAACGCCAATCAAAACATGCGCAGTGCACGAAATTTGATACATAAGCACTTCGAATAAAGGAAAATCAAACGGTTTTGCGCATGCGCAGTGCCAACTTTTTTATTTATGGAAGAATTTAAATTAAATGTGATACATAGGCACTTGGAATAAAGGAAAATCTAGCGCCAGTTTCAAAATTTTATTTTGCGCATGCGCCGTGCCAACTTTTTTATCTATGGAACTATTTAAGTGAAATTTGATACTTAGGCGCTTGGACCAAAGGAAAATCTTAGTTTATTAGTTAGTTATAGTAAATTAGTTTTAAAATTTAGGTTTGCGCATGCGCAGTTCCAACTTTCTTATTTAGAAAAGCATTGAAATGAAATTCTTCTCATAAACTGAAATTGAAGTAGCACGTCAACAATGGATTGCCCATGTGCAACGCTATCTTTTATATTTGTGGCCGGATTTTTACGATTTTAACAGAAGTTGTATCTTACAAATGGGAAATGAATGCAAGTGGAAATGCGCTTTATGTAAATTGTTTACGATTACTTTTTAACTTGTTTATTTTTAAAACGCCATGTTACGGTCAAACGTCTAATTTAAATGAATTCAATTTCGAACCGAACCCAACGAAGAACAGTTAAAAATAGACTACGTTCATTTCTCTCTAATTTAAAAAGATTCTAATTCTAAACACACAAACACAAAGAATAACAGCAAAAGCTAGAAATGTCAAGTATCCTCAGGAACTGCAACTAATTACAATAACAACATCATTACCACAATGCGTTATTTCACAGTTTCTTGGTCCGTTTCGGAACCGCATTTGTATGGTTCAGTCCACTCGAGCTCAATTACATGCTGGCGAGGTCGCTAGCTGAGCCACAGGGGGGGTAGGTGTTATACGAACAAACTCAAATCATAAGCGGAAAAATAAGCGTGCACAGTGTAGTTTGGAATTTTCCTTTTTATTCTTGTGTACAAACAACTCGAGAATTTGATGCAGTCGGAGTAAATACAAGCTTCATCATCTTGAAAGTTTCCATACAAAAGACAATTGTACGAGAGCAGGTCACAAGAGAGGTTCAACTGCATCACCCACCAGAGCGATTCAGTTTTCAATTTTTCTTGGAGGGCGCGTTTTTCAAAGATGAACCGTACTATTCGTAACCTAAAGAAAAACGTTGATTCCAGCGGTACCTATAAGTTAGCAGAGCGTCAAATTTAGATTTTTCAAATTTAAAAAGGAGATAATAGAAAAACCTTTTAATTCCTACGGACTTTTTTATTTAAAATTGATTACAGAGATATCCGTGGTTAAAACTAATTGTGTAAAGTACCGTTGACTGTAGATAGATTTTGGCCTGTAGAATCAATATTGTCAAACAGTTTTAAGATTGGGCTACTAGATCAAAAGTTACAGCCCCTCGAATTTTTTTTCGAAATTTGCCCATAACTTTTGATTGAGAGGTCTAATCGAAAAAATACGAATCGATTTGGATTCTACGCACCAAAATTACTAAGAAAAAGTGTTTTTCTGAGAAATTTTGGTGCAGTCGATTTTTTGCAAAAAGGAAGGTTATACACTGCCTTTTTTTGAGGCCCGAAAAGAAAATTATCTCAGATCGACCCGGAAAAAAAAATTTCTTATGCAATGTGGCCTGCAGAATCCATAATTTCAAATAGTTCCAAGATTGGGCTACTAGTTCAACAGTTACAGCCCTTTGAATTTTTTTTCGAAATTGGTTTCTAGTCTATAACTTTTGATTGAGAAGTCTGATCGAAAAAGTACGAATTGGTTTGGATTCTACGCACCAAAATTAATAAGAAAAAGTGTTTTCCCGAGAAATTTTGGTGTAGTCGATTTTTGGTAAAAAAGGAAGGTTATACACTGCCTTTTTTTTGAGGCCCGAAAAAAAAATTGTCTCAGATCGACCCGGAAAAAAATTTTCTTATAGAATGTGGCCTGTAGAATCCATAATTTCAAACAGTTTCAAGATTGGGCTACTAGTTCAAAAGTTACAGCCCTTTGAATTTTCTTTCGAAATTGGTTTCTAGTCTATAACTTCTGATTGAGAAGTCTGATCGAAAAAGTACGAATTGTTTTGGATTCTACGCACCAAAATTAATAAGAAAAAGTGTTTTCCCGAGAAATTTTGGTGCAGTCGATTTTTTGGTAAAAAAGGAAGGTTATATACTGCCTTTTTTTGAGGCCCTCAAGAAAAATTGTCTCAGATCGACCCGGAAAAAAATTTTTCTTATAGAATGTGGCCTGTAGAATCCATAATTTCAAACAGTTCCAAGATTGGGCTACTAGTTCAAAAGTTGCAGCCCTTTGAATTTTCTTTCGAAATTGGTTTCTAGTCCATAACTTTTGATTGAGAAGTCTAATCGAAAAAGTACGAATTGTTTTGAATTCTACGCACCAAAATTAATAAGAAAAAGTGTTTTCCCGAGAAATTTTGGTGTAGTCGATTTTTGGTAAAAAAGGAAGGTTATACACTGCCTTTTTTTGAGGCCCGAAAAAAAAAATTGTCTCAGATCGACCCGGAAAAAAATTTTCTTATAGAATGTGGCCTGTAGAATCCATAATTTCAAACAGTTCCAAGATTGGGCTACTAGTTCAAAAGTTACAGCCCTTTGAATTTTTTTTCGAAATTGGTTTCTAGTCTATAACTTTTGATTGAGAAGTCTGATCGAAAAAGTACGAATTGTTTTGGATTCTACGCACCAAAATTAATAAGAAAAAGTGTTTTCCCGAGAAATTTTGGTGCAGTCGATTTTTGGTAAAAAAGGAAGGTTATACACTGCCTTTTTTTGAGCCCCGAAAAAAAAATTGTCTCAGATCGACCCGGAAAAAAATTTTCTTATAGAATGTGGCCTGTAGAATCCATAATTTCAAACAGTTCCAAGATTGGGCTACTAGTTCAAAAGTTACAGCCCTTTGAATTTTTTTCGAAATTGGTTTCTAGTCTATAACTTTTGATTGAGAAGTCTGATCGAAAAAGTACGAATTGTTTTGGATTCTACGCACCAAAATTAATAAGAAAAAGTATTTTCCCGAGAAATTTTGGTGCAGTCGATTTTTGGTAAAAAAGGAAGGTTGTACACTGCCTTTTTTTGAGGCCCTCAAAGAAAATTGTCTCAGATCGACCCGGAAAAAAATTTTCTTATAGAATGTGGCCTGTAGAATCCATAATTTCAAACAGTTCCCAGATTGGGCTACTAGTTCAAAAGTTACAGCCCTTTGAATTTTTTTTCGAAATTGGTTTCTAGTCTATAACTTTTGATTGAGAAGTCTGATCGAAAAAGTACGAATTGTTTTGGATTTTACGCACCATAATTAATAGGAAAAAGTGCTTTCCCGAGAAATTTTGGTGCATCCGATTTTTTGCAAAAAGGAAGGTTATACACTGCTTTTCTTTGAGGCCCGAAAAGAAAATTGTCTCAGATCGACCCGGAAAACAATTTTCTTATAGAATGTGGCCTGTAGAATCCATAATTTCAAACAGTTCCAAGATTGGGCTACTAGTTCAAAAGTTACAGCCATTTGAATTTTTTTTCGAAATTGGTTTCTAGTCTATAACTTTTGATTGAGAAGTCTGATCGAAAAAGTACGAATTGTTTTGGATTCAACGCACCCAAATTAATAAGAAAAAAGTGTTTTCCCGAGAAATTTTGGTGCAGTCGATTTTTGGTAAAAAAGGAAGAAATAGAAATTTGGGATTGGAATAACCACTTTATTTAGAGACTACAAGGAAAACAGAAGAGATGGAGATAAGGGGGAAGAAGAGGAGGCATGGAAAAGCCTCAATTAGAAGCTGAATGAACATTCTAGATGAAAAAGAAATAGAGAAATATACAAATCGAACAGGGAGACAGGGGTCATGGGAAGAACGAAGTGGAAAAAACGAGTGGAGTGAAGCAAAGAAGATTTCTTTATATTATTCTTGTATCATATTTGCTCTTCCGATGTTTCTTCAAAAATTCGTTAAATAAATGTGGTAGTGGAATTTTTTATTTTTAAAGCGCTATGTTACGATCAACCGTCTCACATAAACAATTTTCATGTAAAGAAATGAAAAACTTTTTTATGAGACTAATTTAGATTTATAATAAAATGAACTCAAACAAAGAAACAAAGAATAACAGAAAAAGCTGTCCCGTAACCGGTTTATAGAATATTTCCGGCATTCTCAGTAACTGCAAATATATATTTCCGTTTTGTTTCAGATCCCTGATGGCGTAAGAAAACGCGATGTAAGGGAAGGTCAAGCAGTTCGCAAATGGGAAGTCTCCCCAACTTGAGCGAGATATCAAGGGAAGACGACACCCAACTTTGCAACTCGCGCGGCGCCCCGTGCTCGTTTCGAAATGAGCGCTGCAAGATCAGATACAGACAATCAGAACGCGGCTACCTCCGGCGACCGAAGAAGCACTTCCCATCGCGGTGGACGCCTTGCGATGACGTCACGTTGCAGCAAACGGCAACATCCTCCCCGGCGTCAGCTCGAAGTACAAACATTAATCACGTGGTCAGAAGGAAGGACTCCCTAACCAGCTCGATCGGGGCGACATCTGTCAGACGACTCATTAGCGTAGTCCGAAACTCGCACAATCGCCCCGGTCCCCACTACAATCGCGGAGTCTTAATCCGCCACCTTGTCGTTTTTTGCACGTCGCACCTGTTCCTTAACGCCACCTTCCCGCCGTTCATCGTACTGCAAGGTAGCGTCTCACTATGGACCTTGCCCCAGGTCTTCTTCCCCCTCGGAATCAACGCCGGGTCGACACTCCTCGCGCTGATGTACTCCATGTCGGCGACCTCGACGCTCTTCGCGCCCTACCTGATCAACAAGGTCGGCGTCCACGTCGTGTTGCTATACTCGTACGGCGTCTTCCTCATCTTCTACGTAACGCACATCTATCCGGCCATGTACCTCCTGATACCGGTCTACGCGGTCTTAGGAATCGCACTGGGCCAGCTCACGCTAAGTTACGTCTCCCTCCTGATGGGCCTCTCCACGAAGATGAGCTGCGCGATATCCGACTACGAGGACGATCTACGCGTGTCGCGCCTCGCGGTCATCATTCGTAGATTCGCGCGCGCGATTCAAGCCTCGCAAGACTTGGGCCTTATCTTCGGTTCCCTTATGGTCGCGATGATAATCGGCTACTGGAGGCCGAACCAGTACGCCGCCCCCTGTACGGAATCGGACAATTTCAACTGTACAAATTGTGCTCAAACCGAACCTTGCACTGCCGCCTGCCCTCTCACTTTTACAAAGAACTGTAGTAGCGATCCCGACACGAAGACAATCGTAGAAAATCTCGATTCTATTTTTGATATTGACGAGCACGGCAACAGGATCTGCGGTGCCGCGGCGTGCGCGTCCCAGTTCGCCAACTTTCCGGTCGTCCACCCGACCGTCGCCTTCACGCTCCTGATCATATTCGTCGCGTTCACGACGCTCGCGTTGGTCATCACCGTCGTCGGACTCGGCCGGCTCAAGACCTACGTCAATCAGGACGCGCTCGACAATCTCGAGTTTACGACGTCGCTGAGGGCGATTCTCGAAGCGTTTAAGGATATCAAGTTGCAGTTGGCCGCCCCGCTCGCGGTTTTCATGGGGTTGGAGCAGGGATTTGTGTACACCGACTTTAGCAAGGTAGGTAAAGTGACCCCCACCTATTTACAATAAAAATGAACAGTGCAGTACAGTCTCACTGATATAACAGAGAAGAAAGGCAGGCCGACAAGTTCACTGTCACATCTTCCATGGACCACCTTTTTCGTATCGACCGCCGATTGCCATCCACCGCCTTGTACACTCTATAGGGGAAGGGACAACTGTCGCAACTTTTATTGGTTGGCATTTTCGTATCGACTGCCTTGTACACTCGATAGGGGAAGGGACACTCCCCGATTGTTATCGACCGCTTTATACACTTAATAGGGGAGGAAGAACAGTCGCATCTTCCCCTTTTATGGAACGACCGCCTTTTTCGTTTAATTGTATGGAATACCCATACCACCAGCAATGTAAAATTCGATAACGATTTCCCTTTAACCCTCAGAAGTCCCATCGTGCTTTATTGGAAATGACAACAGAACTAACGTGTGCACTGGGGGTATTCCATTCCCCCCAGACCCCCCGGTGTTACGTTTCTTAGAGAAAGAAGATGATGTGATCATTTTTCACAAATAAAATCATGAGATTCCTCAAGGCTAAACGTTTTATGCAAGAAAATGCTACCGGGGGGTCTGGGGGGTATGGAATACCCCCCAGTGCACACGTTAGTTCTGTTGTCTTTTCCAATAAAGCACCATGAAAGTTCTGAGGGTTATAGGGAAACTGTTATCTCATTTTACATTGCTGGTGGTATGGCTGGGGGGTATTCCATACCCCCCAGACCCCCCGGAGTTACATTGCCAGTACTACTTCTTAGGGGAAGAAGATGATGTGATTATTTTTTACAAATAAAATCATGAGATTCGTCAAGGCTAAACGTTTTATGTAAGAAAATACTACCGGGGGGTCTGGGGGGTATGGAATACCCCCCAGTGCACACGTTAGTCATTATGCCAGTACTACTTCTTAGGGGAAGAAGATGATGTGATTATTTTTTACAAATAAAATCATGAGATTCGTCAAGGCTAAACGTTTTATGTAAGAAAATACTACCGGGGGATCTGTGGGGTATGGAATACTCCCCAGTGCACACGTTAGTTCTGTTGTCATTTCCAATAAAGCACCATGAAAGTTCTGATAGTTATAGGGAAACTGTTATCTCATTTTACATTGCTGCTGGTATGGCTTGGGGGTATTCCATACCCCCCAGACCCCCCGGAGTTACATTGCCAGTACTACTTCTTAGGGGAAGAAGACGATGGGATTATTTTTTACAAATAAAATCATGAGATTCCTCAAGGCTAAACGTTTTATGTAAGAAGATACTACCGGGGGGTCTGGGGGGTATGGAATACCCCCCAGTGCACACGTTAGTTCTGTTGTCATTTCCAATAAAGCACCATGAAAGTTCTGAGGGTTATAGGGAAACCGTTATCTCATTTTACATTGCTGCTGGTATGGCTGGGGGGTATTCCATACCCCCAGACCCCCCGGAGTTACATTGCCCAGTACTACTTCTTAGGGGACGAAGATGATGTGATCATTTTTCACAAATAAAATCATAAGATTCCTCAAGGCTAAACGTTTTATGCAAGAAAATGCTACCGGGGGGGTCTGGGGGGTATGGATACCCCCCAGTACACACGTTAGTTCTGTTGTCATTTCCAAAAGGCACCATGAAAGTTCTTGATAGTTATAAGGAAACTGTTATCTCATTTTACATTGCTGCTGGTATGGCTGGGGGTATTCCATACCCCCCGTTACATGAGGGGGTTATAGGGAAACTGTTATCTCATTTTACATTGCTGGTGGTATGGCTGGGGGGTATTCCATACCCCCCAGACCCCCCGGAGTTACATTGCCAGTACTACTTCTTAGGGGAAGAAGATGATGTGATTATTTTTTACAAATAAAATCATGAGATTCCTCAAGGCTAAACGTTTTATGCAAGAAAATACCACCGGGGGATCTGGGGGGTATGGAATACCCCTCAGTGCACACGTTAGTTCTGTTGTCATTTCCAATAAAGCGGCATGAAAGTTCTGAGGGTTATAGGGAAACCGTTATCTCATTTTACATTGCTGCTGGTATGGCTGGGGGGTATTCCATCCCCCCCAGACCCCCCGGAGTTACATTACCAGTCCTACTTCTTAGTGGAAGAAGATGATGTGATTATTTTTTACAAATAAAATCATGAGATTCCTTAAGGCTAAACGTTTTATGTAAGAAGATACTACCGGGGGGTCTGGGGGGTCTGGAATAGCCCCCAGTGCACACGTTAGTTCTGTTGTCATTTCCAATAAAGCAGCATGAAAGTTCTGAGGGTTATAGGGAAACCGTTATCTCATTTTACATTGCTGGTGGTATGGCTGGGGGGTATTCCAGACCCCCCGGAGTTACATTGCCAGTACTACTTCTTAAGGGACGAAGATGATGTGATCATTTTTCACAAATAAAATCATGAGATTCGTCAAGGCTAAACGTTTTATGCAAGAAAATACTACCGGGGGGTCTGGAATAGCCCCCAGTGCACACGTTAGTTCTGTTGTCATTTCCAATAAAGCAGCATGAAAGTTCTGAGGGTTATAGGGAAACCGTTATCTCATTTTACATTGCTGCTGGTATGGCTGGGGGGTATTCCATACCCCCCAGAGGTACATTGTCAGTACTGCTTCTTAGGGAACGAAGATGATGTGATTATTTTTTACAAATAAAAGTCCTGGAATTTTTTCCAGTCGGTAGCCTATACCTTGAAGATGTGCCAGACGGACATCTAATTTCGCTCTCTCAAGAAGGGGGAGGAGGGCATGAATTATTTCCTGAGATACTGTTTGTAAATGTAAAACGTGCATAACTACCCTTCATGGTATTCTAATTAAAGGTCTCAACAAAAAGAACGGTTTTCTAACAACTAGCGCCCTACTTTCTGACGCCTTAACAAAAAGGGGGGTGGGGGGAGTTTCAACTGGTTTTATCCTTCATGGTACTCTAATGAAAGGGCTCAACGAAAGGAATTAATTTCTACCAACCATAGTCTTCTCCTCGACTCCTTATCGTGATCAGATATAAATAATCCATTATATCTCAAGAACAGATTGTCAGAGGATGGTACTCACAAAGGGCGATTGGGACGTCTGGACGAAATATGTCTATTGGTGATGTGAAAACTTTACGAGCGAATATCTGGAAAAGGCGTTGTCGGAGGAAAGTACCGACAAAGGCAAAATGAATTGCCTGGACGAGTTGTGCACAATAATTTATACTTTGGATCTATCAAACCCAGCAGTAATGTCAGTAATTTCACCTGTTACAGTCCTACATCGTCTGCACGCTTGGAATCCAACACGTAAACCTCGTGTTCCTCAGCATGGGTGTCCTGCAGTCGGTGGCGGCGTGCACGCTCAGCATGCTACTGAAGTCAATTCAGCGTTACTACGTCGTCAGTAAGTGCCACCATGCGGACTCCACCAGTACTAATCTTGCTCTGTTGCAGTTGTCGGCTTCATATTCCAGTGCTGCGTCCTGATGGTGCAGATACTGTGGAAGCCGATGAGCGACGACCCCGCCCTCTTTTACGTGGTGCCGGCGGTTTGGGGCGTCTGCAACGCCATCTGGGAAATACTCACCCTGTGTAAGGCAAGCGGAGACCAAATCCTCCCAAACTAACCGATCGAATTTCAGCCCTTCTGACGTCACTCTACGCGGACAATTGGAGCGCCCCCTTTTGCATTTCGAATTTTTTTCGATTCCTCGGCTTGACGGTCTCGTTCCTTTTCCACAGTCTACTCTGCAACTGGATCAAGCTGTACGCTCTCGCGACGCTCATGTTGTTCGCCGTCATTCCGTTTTTCTGTTTAGAGCTGCGACTGGCGAAGTCAAATAAAAATCTCGACACGAGCAGATTATGACTCATTTGTTCAAATTTTATAAATAAATATTACGTATGACGTTTATTATAAATTCGATGTAAATCGTCCGCCAACCTCAACCCTTTTTCATAGTTCATCCTGTTTTGTTGTCGCTCAGGACTAATGACAGCCTTAAAATAAAGAGAAGCCACTGCATTCGACGAAAAGAAAGGTTGTTCTCATGATTTCCTGCAATTATAACGTATGCAACATTGCGTGTATGAGAAATGCCGTTAACTTTAATTGTTTGAAATCGTTTTCATTTTTGGTGTAAATGTTCGCTCAATTTATGTTGTTTTGATTACTTGGGCCATGTAACCTTCCATACCGTTTTTCACCGACTAAGTTTCCGGTCTTTCAGAATATTCATGATAACAACAATATTTAATAAACAAACTTTTCTATTTTGCGTTTCTTCCCTACTGTACTTCAGGTCATCATACGTTTATGACACTTCTATAAACCACTCAAGATTTTAACTTTTGATTGAGTAGTCTGATCGAAAAAGTACAAATTGATTTGGATTCTACGCACCCAAATTAATAAGAAAAAGTGTTTTCCCGAGAAATTTTGGTGTAGTCGATTTTTGGTAAAAAGGAAGGTTATACACTGCCTTTTTTTGAGGCCCGAAAAAAAAATTGTCTCAGATCGAACCGGAAAAAAATTTTCTTATAGAATGGGGCCTGTAGAATCCATAATTTCAAACAGTTCCAACATTGGGCTACTGGTTCAAAAGTTACAGCCCTTTGAATTTAAACCTTCCCCATACTTCATTTAATTGTTTCAGATTTTAAATTCAGACATTATGTGACAGCACAGCGACTATAGTTTCGACCCTGAGGTCATTATCAAGCTTCAGTTTGAAGGAACATATAAAAGTAGTTGAAAATTACATATTAATTGGTAACATTTGGTTGATAATATGGGGAAAAATTACTTATTCGAACATGGAAACAATTACAATTACAATATTAACAAATTTAAGGCTTTTTGCCCTCACATTTTATAAACAATTGTTAAATTAAAATTGAACGAGATGGACGCAGCCATCTTGACAAGCAAAGTCTTTGCTTGTCAAGATGGCTGCGTCCATCTCGTTCAATTTTAATTTAACAATTGTTTATAAAATGTGAGGGCAAAAAGCCTTAAATTTGTTAATATTGTAATTGTAATTGTTTCCATGTTCGAATAAGCAATTTTTCCCCATATTATCAACCAAATGTTACCAATTAATATGTAATTTTCAACTACTTTTATATGTTCCTTCAAACTGAAGCTTGATAATGACCTCAGGGTCGAAACTATAGTCGCTGTGCTGTCACATAATGTCTGAATTTAAAATCTAAACAATTAAATGAAGTATGGGGAAGGTTTAGTGCTTTTATAATTTCCACTTACTCCAGGGCTTGATTTCTATAGACATTTCGACTCTTTTCTGAGCTGACTTCGTATTTCTCCGGTTTCGATCCAATATTGGTGCCGGCCTTAGCAAGGCGCTCAGCCTCTTTCTTTCCGGCTATCCCCTCATGGCTTGGCACCGCTTGGCACTCACACTAACGTAACACGATTACGCCTGGCTATTCCCCTTTGGCCACAATGGCCTCTGCGCACCTGGTTATAACTACAGCCCCAGCTTGAAATGGTGTAGGAGTGGTTCCTAATTCACTAATTGAAGGGGGAGAAGGCCCAGAAAAACCTCCGCGGCAGCTGTGGGGGTGAGTGTAGTTTTCATTGCTCCAGTAATATCTATTGCAGTTTGTTTAGCTCAGTATGTCTACTGTAGACCACCATACTACGGCAAGGTAGGTCAAGATAGGCCTAATCACAGTAGTGTATAGCTAGAATGAGAGGCGAGGATTTACACTCCATTTCCTTCCCATAAGGCTTCGACAGCTCATTAAGGCCGTGGTTGACCGCCATGGTGATTCAGCACACTAACTCTGGAGGACGCACGATCTATGAAAGATTCAATACCGATCACACGGAATTTCATGATCAACACCGAGTTATGAGTATACACATTTCAGCCCTTACCTGGACGCATTGAAATTTCTTCTCATTCAGTTTTTGAATACAGTTAGGCATTTTTTTTACCGCTGGTAAGGTAGACGTGCTTTTTTTACAAATAAACAGAAGGTCCAAAATGAGATCGTTATAAAAATTGGAACATTTTCTGGGCCCTTTAACGAACTCCCTCACAAACCTGAAATTTTGGTTAATGGAAACTATACTATGGAATCAAGCTGTCCCTGTTCATTTAAATTACCTGTTATTGATTTCATTAAAACGTTCTTATTGTGTTCGCATGTAACTGTGATTAATATTTACTTGATGAAATGATCCGGGTAAGATTATGCTTGCTCCATACTACACCACCAACTATATAAAACATTTGCTGTCATTCTGCCTTGATTCATATCGAAATAGGACGAAGTTTCGCATACGTTGTGTAGAATACGTAATCTTTACAGATTCGCTTCTGTACTTAATACATAAACTTGAGTTAAAATCTTTCCCGAGGGATCGTTATAAATTAGTGTTGTATTAATTTCAAGTTTGGCACAAAATTTGCAATACAAATTAGTTGGAAAGCAGAAAGGTAATGTACATAACGTAATTGATGGGAACGTATGGGTGATAGTCAATAATTACCCTACTTTTTATGCCTCCGCCATCTACACCGCAGTGTTTCCGTTGAGCGAATGACATCAAAAGAGAGAAGGGTAAAACTGTTAGCATATGTTCAATGGGCGCTAGAAATGTAATATCGTACGGACAATGTCGGGTTCTCGCTTTCTCATATTTAGATTACCTTCTTTGTGTTTTAAACACTATTCTAAAGAATGAATAAAGAATTTAATTTGAAATGGACAACAAAGTGTTGGTACGTAATTATATACATTTCCTTCGTACCTACTGTACCTGCTTTCTAGTATAAATTTAATTTTTATTTAAAGTAAATGTCCTTTGATCTTTTATGCAGCTGTATAATGTAAGTCAACTGGTATCTAAGGAACATGTTTCTGTTCTGAATATTATATGTAGCAGAAAGGATCTTTATAAATGCAACTCTCTTTATATACCTACGCCACAAATGAAGATGCCATTTTAATCACACACGCTCGAGTTATATAAGGTAACCAGCATATCATTTTCAAACTATGTTCTCTTAACTACAGCAGAATAATAACATGTCAGGTTTGCAGACGCCATATTTAAATATGTTGTAATCTAGTGCTGCAAAAGTAAATTTTCGTTTGGATGTTTATGGTATTCGTGTTTAAGCAAGGCAATTTCTAGTTTTATTAAGTAGCGCAGCAAATAAATATTGTACCTTATTTAGATGTTAAAAGGGAAAATCAATACTGACACACAGACATGAAAAACTAGTACCATTTGGCCACAGGACACAAACATTATTAATTTATGAGAAGTGTATGTATCCTTTTAAATNACCATTGAATAATAAATCTGAATAGAAAGACAACGCAATGCTTTTTGAAGGGTCCACTTTAACGGAGTTTCTCCGTAGGTTGCCCTCTGGGACAAACTCCGCTTATTAAAAGCATTGAATTTATAACTATCAAAAGTAACTAAATTTTAATCGAGGTTTTATACCACCTACTCAACTGAATCAAAGTGATTAGATTTCTTTAGATGACGCTACTTTCGCGTACTTATCTCGTAGACTGAGTGGGAGTTATAACAGCACGTGAAGATCGTATTGCAATATTATCTCTGTATTTACCAACTTATGCTTACGTAATACATGTTATTATTTGCACACCTCTTAAGGAAATGACATCAAAGTTATCAACTTACAAGTAAATCTTGATTCAAACGATCTTACCTTATGTAGACTTTGAGATCGAAATTAAACTTTACTATTATTGTACCTATAGACAATGTTTTGGAATATTTCAGAATATGCAATATACTGTCAGTTGTGCGAGCATTTACAGATATTGTTTAATTGCTGTTTCCGTATATAAATTATAAATGCACAAATAACATGTTTTTGAGACAAAATTTGGAATTAAGTACTACTACTTTAAACAACAACTTTAACATTCAAATGAGAGAAGTGCAATATAATCTATTATGATATGAAATGAAAGGTTTTTTAAATCGGCTTCATGAAAGAAATTGTATTGCACTTTTACGAAACTAAGACTCGAATACGCCATGCCGGCACTTTTGATTCTAAAACCTCTTTCTACGCCTCTCTTGTAACAGATTTTTGATATTTTTTAAATATTAATAATTACGGCACCCGAAAATACCATAAATATCAAGTACTTCTACAATTATTTATGCAAAATTCGAGTATTAAATCAAAAATCTGTTACAATAGAGGCATAGATGTGTCCTTTATCTTTACATCGGCACCTAACAACACGGGATAGAATCCAATTTACTCAAAACGTTATACTAAGTCCCACACCTAGACACGCTATTCGGCCCATATAATTTCTATTGAAGCACTTCCCTAGTCGTATGCAGAGAACGGCCTCTTAAGTTTACGGATCGAATAAGAAATTTCAAAGCTATTATGAATTTCCATAGCAAGAGAAAAGACGCAGTCGTCAATCGCATTGAATGGAATGTTTTTTACCGTGAAAAAATAAATCAAGAGAACATACATTTATCATAGGGTCCGTTCACTTAGCCCCCCATTAGCCCAAGAATGAACCAATTTTTTTTATGTATTGTGCCCCAATTGTGCATTTATGCGCACCGTTTGTGTCTTTTTGGTTTCGGAGATAATAGCAAAAATCAAATGGGGGCTAAGTGAAAATTGACGATTGAAAATATCTGAAATCATCTTAACAAAAACTAAAACTTGTAATATATACAGACATGGAAAGGTAAGGATGTCATTTAAAGTTTGTTATACAGGGTGAAAATTGGGTGATAAGAGGGCCGAGGGGTTCAAGATAAGCACTTTTTTTCAAATAAACCGAGGGTCAAACGTGTTTTGTTTGGGAGCCACCCCCAAAGAAGTGGTGAAATTTGGAGTTCTTTAATTTTTTTCTCAGCAAT